TATTCGTGGGGTACGAAAAACTTGGTCAATCTGGTATACTGGCCACTAGTGGGCCTACTGTACCAGCCCTTAATACTAGATAAGTATGGAGCAGTTGGTAAGATGAGAATTGACAGGGAAAACCGAAGAACTCTAAGCAAATCTACCCCAGTACCACTTTGTCCACCAAAAATTTCACATAACCTGAATTGGGCCGCCGAGGCGGGAAATCGGCAACCAAACAACTGAGCTATCGCACAGTCGTAGCGCAATCCTAATGTAATGATATATGGTATTACTTCGAATATAAGTCGCACATTTTACACCATTTTTCCTGTTGAAAAATTGAGTGCACATTTCTATTTTTTTTTTCTTTTTGTAAAATCAACGTACAAAAACTGGGTGCGTGTTAAATTCGATTACGTCTTATATTCGAAGTAATATGGTATTTCAATTTGAGAAACGTACCACCATTTTGAAATTTCAGCACAATCCATATCACGCCCATCCACACTAGCACGGTCTGATCAGACCACATCTTGTACCTTGGTCAGACCCCTGAAATAAAATAACCAAAGAGCTGTTCACTTTTCAGTAGTATTTATGTTTCAACTTCACAAAATTTCATCATATAATTTTCTGTACACCCATGAAATGACGCTACATTAAAATTCAAGTCCCAAATCATTGTTAAATTTTAATGGAACAAGATTCTGCAATTTATGTGCCATTGTGTGCGAGAGACATTAATATATATATGAAGGGATCTGTGATTAGAAGCAGTAGTGGCCTGTGGCCTTTGACTGGAGCAGCAGATGGAAAAATCCCTGGATCCTATCCATAATTTGAACAAGGTACCGCCACGTGCTACGTTACATTGTTAAAAACATTAGTTCTCAGAACGGAATTAAGCGGCCTCCGTAGTCTAGGGGTGACGTTCCCACCTCATGACACGTGGTACGCGGGTTCAAACCCGGCGGAGGTCGTGGAATTTTTAAGGGCGGAAAAATTCAGGGAACAAGCCCTCCGGGAGGGACTTTAAGCCGTGGGTCCCGTGTCTTAGCTTTACGGCACGTAAAAGAACCTCATGTCTCCAAAGGAGGTCACTGAGCCAAATTCGAGGACGTTTCCGCCCAACAATAGTCTCTAACGCCTCTGATAGATGGGGGAAACATTATAGATACCGCCAAGCCCGTAGAGGCCGAACTCGCTGGCTCGGTCGGGACTGATGGTACGCACCAATATCGGTAGGGTATAGAGACTGGTAGAATATCATAGAGGGAAGCACAATGGACCAATACTGGTCTAAGTGCATGGGGAAACCCACCCTCTCCAATAACTAACTAACTAACTAACTAACTAACTAGAACTGAATTAGAAATATATGTGTGCACGATGTCTGCCTACTACCAAGCTATACGCAATAGTAGTTACTATAGGATTCTGACGATGGTGTATAACACACAGAGATATTGGGTTTTCGGACTTTATCCATCGTCCTGGTTTTTAAGATTATT